TGGCCTCTGTGAGGCCCTCCAGCATCTCCAAGCAGGGAGACGCCACCATCCCCTGGGAAACCTGCTCCGGTGCTCAGAGGGTCACCCTCAGAGCAAAGCTTTTACCATATTCAGACAGAACTTCCTTCGGTTTCATGTTGATCGCACACACCCAGTGCTGATGCAGACAGAAATAACGACGTGCAAATCCTGAAATGCAGAGACCGGGGGAAGGTTGAAGAAAGATGGCGACGCAGAGTTTGGGGATGCTAGAGTAAGCCCTGATCTGATCCCGCACCTCTCCACCCCACAGGCACATTCCCAAAACTGCGGGATATCTTTGCTATGGAGAGCTCAGATTCCTAGGGAGCTAGGATTCCTAGGGAATCAGCTTTGGCTGCGCCTTTCCAGCGCAGTGCCTCGTGCACAAAAACCAGCATTAAATCCGGTCTTGTTAGGAGACCCAAATAAAACATAAAAAGGAGCCAAGGGAACAAATGCAAATAGTCCTTCCTTTTGTGATAAGCCCCTCTCCCAGTGAAGAAGATTTGCTTGCACTAGGAAGACCTGGATATTCCTTTTGGGTGGCTGAAAGCCAGCTCTTGAGGAAGATGCTCCTCATCTCCCCAGGATTGTAGCACCCGTGGCCATCTTCAGCTGTCTCTGACAAGAGCTAGGCTGTCCCATGGTTATGCACAAGCCATATCTACTTTGCTCAAAGCAAGCTGCATTCTGTGCTCAATTAGGTACCAGGACAATTTGCTAAATCACAATTAAGAGGGTGAAGGGAACAGAAAAGATGGCCCCAGTGCTGCCAGGCCTGTGTTACTGTCAGTGTTACAAGCCTTGCCTCACTTCCAGTTGGGTTGGGTTTTCTGGCCTGAGGACATGAGATTAAGAATCAGTTTTAACTGCAGTTTGAGCACAGCAGATACGTGTTCCTAACTGTGGAAAGCAGATTAAAGGCTTCAGTTCTCTCTTTTAAGCTTTTCCATTGCTTTATCACCCAGACCATCTTTGGGTGAGCGCAAACCGTAAAGCCACAAACAGTTGCAAACCTGTGAGAAGTGCAAGAGCTGAGTAAGGGAAGTCAGTGATAACAAGTGCCGTGAGCTCTTCCCGTTCTGCCTACAGCGTTCCCCACGTCCCTCGGAGACTGTATGCAGCCCTGACATGGATGGGGACCCGGAATGACTGCTCTGGCAGGCAGTGACACTGGTGCGCAGGGCAAACAGTACAAATCTGAATTTTCCTGGACTGCTGGCATTAGCATGACTTTGCAGAAAGGACCAAAGTTTATTTATTTATATTTGTGTGTGTGTTTTTTTTTTTTTTTCTCCTAACAGAGTAATTTCCTACTGGATCCCACCGTTCACCACGATGCTGTGGCTCCGTGCCGAGATGGGACGGGTGAGGGCTGCTCTCGCTCCCAACTGCGCTGCAATGAGGAGGCAAATCTGAGCAGGGCGAGCGCTGCCGACTCGCGCAATGGTCAATCGCTGCGAGTCTCATCGAAACACTCTAGCTCATGCTAGAGCTTTTAGCTTTTATTTTTTCACATAGCTAGAACAACGCTTGCTTTCTTCTGCAGAGGAAAACGAGAAGGAAATCACAAATGCTGATACGATATTGGGTGCACTGCGTTATCAGGCATCTGTGCCACACGTTGCACAACGCATGACACAGGACAGGGGCTGGGGAGCTTGTCGCAATCCGAGCACCCTCATACAGCACCGGGAGAATGCAGAGGCCCTGAGGCCCTGTCCCGGGGCTGGAACTCTCATGATGGAAAGAACTTAGCACACCCACAGCAGGAGTTTTATCTTTTAATTTAATTTTAATCTCTCTTTATCGTGTCGAGCACAAACGTCGGAAACGCTCGTGACGCGCCTCAGCTGGGGCAAACAGTGGGCAAACCCACCATGCGTCTCACTTCACCGCCGCGGCTGACGGCCGCCAAACCGGCCTCCTACTGGCTGCCAGTGCTGTCCGTCACCCAAAGACCCCCCCCCC